CCATTGATCGTTTATCCGAACAGCGGGGAAACATACAACGTGGAAACTGGGTATGAAAGGCAAGGGCTTCTAAGATAATCATACTAACAAATTATTGCAGAAACATCATCGTTATTTAATGGCATGGTTTTTGCAACCCCATTTTTTGCTTTTTGTGGAGCGACGTAATTTCAGTACCTAACTGTTAAAGCGCTTTATTTTGTCGTTTTGTGAGTGTCTATTTTTAAAGAAATACCATTTTTCTCGAAAAAGAAAATTATTAATTATTTTATTGAGAAAAATAAGCTATAGGCGAATACTCATTTTGAAACCGAATATGGGTTTGTTATTTTGAAACACTTTACCTGAAACATTATGGCAAGAGTTGTTTAGGTAGGTATTGGATACAGGTGCTTCAACAAAGACATGGTTAGAACAATAGGGATTATCACTTCAGAAAATAAAACTAATCAAGTTTCAAATATAATTATTATTTAATTGTCCTTGGTAATTTTTTTGCCATGTAAGATCTTTTTCAAATTATGACCATCGTCATTTTAACCACCTGAAGATGATACCCTTGTTCGGATTCGAAAATTTGTTTGTTATTTGTTGTATTTTCTGAAGTGCATTGTGTTTCATCTAGAATTATCGTATCACTTTGATTTGATTGAACAAAAAATTAAAAAAAAAGGCATAACATATCAGAAGTACGTACGTATAATGAGGAGGGGTGATACTAGAATCGTAACCCATTCTTTCTAGATATTATTATTCCTTTTTAATACAGAAATGTTTTAATAAATATTAAATACGTACAAAACAGAAATTTAATTAAAAGAAATTAGTAAATAAACTATTTATTGTGTTTATATATCATCGTAATGATCAACACGAATTTAAAATCTGTGACTTTTCTGGAGCATGTATTTATTAGAACATCTCAAACTAGAGATTCTTTCATATTTTTATTACAGTAGTTTCTAATGTGACAAACTTTTTCTTTTTTTAAAAAATCCTTTCAGTACATTTTAAATTTTAACCCTTTAGGACTTCCTAAAAATTTTTTCCTTTCGTAGACAATTTTTTAGTGCATCCTTTAAACATATAGGTACAAAATGCTTTTTTATTTTTAAGATAAAACATCTGTTAGAATGTAATATGTTATTTTATTGTGCTTTCTAAAGATTTAATTTGAAGCAATAAGTTCATTTTAATGGTGTACAATTTTACAAGTGTGTAAGATGCGAGCGAATAATATATTGCTTTCACGTCCTGTAGGTGGCTTAACAGAGACAAATGTGAACCACTGGACCTTTACGTAAAGGACTGGTTAAATCTGGGAATACGTTGGATGGGTGGATGCTGTCGTACCTACGCGGCGGACATAAGCAGGATAAAAAACGAAGTTTCTAAATGGACACATGTTCACAAATCTATCCAGAATTAAAGAGCATCTTCCACAAAATAATGTTGCCTTATATACATACATACATGCATGCGTGCTTTTTTAATTTTATTTTTAACTTTTCTAAGTACACAAAACAAAAAAGACTGACACAAATCAGGCTGTTACCTTGATTTATATGCAACTTTTCAAACCATTTAAATAAACGTTTTACTGCAAAATAATTTTTTCTAGATTTTTGTTTAGTTTCATACTCGAATAGAAACTTAAAAAATAGTATAGAATTTATTTTAACTGATTAAATTTTGCAGCGTTCTTGAAAATTGAAATAAGCCTTTATAGAATATGCTATAATAATAATATATTTCTAGTTAATCCTTATAGGTCCTCAAATTAATAAAAAAAAATAAATAATTAAGTAATCATTATGACCTAATACCATTTATTAGTATACCTGCTTTAAAAAGATAACTTTAAACGCATAAACCCTTTATATATTCATTATTAAAATGAAATTTCTTTAATGATTAGGAAATTGATTTATTAATAATAACTCATGCTACCTGGTAAATATGAACATACTTAACGCTAACAAAATTCTAAAAGACTACAATGCAATATTTTTTAATCTTCTTCTTTTTGTTTTTACAATGTCCATCAATGCTGAACTCTATTTCAATATTTAATAAAAGCCAAAAAAAGAGAAACAAAATTTTTAAAATTTAGATAATTCAAAATTCAGATAATACGTAACGGAATTAAAATACAAATAATACCCAAGTATTGCCATCTAGNCATTCGCCTGTAACACCACATTTCGAACGCTTCTAACCTTTTCTTTTCCGCCGCGCCCACTGTCCATGTTTCGCATCCGTACAACGCTGCGCTCCAAACATACACCTATAACAACCTTTTTCGAATTTCTAAATTAACCGTTCGCGAGCATAGAAGTGATTTCCTTTTACTGAAGGCGACTCGACCCTGCGCTATCCTCTGCTATATATCTCTACTACTCCTTTCGTCCTGAATTATATGACTTCCTAGATACCTAAAATCGGCCACTTCTTCTAATTTTTCGTCTATTATCTTTATATTCGCTCTTTCCCTACTTTTCCTTCCCTTGCATACCAGTATTTTTGTTTTACTTTTATTTATTTTCATACAGTACTGGTTTGTCAATACCGCTTCCATTGTATTTAAAACTATCTCCAATTCCTTCTTGCTAGATGCTAATATTGCTGTATCATTCGCAAATCTAAGCATATTAATCTTTTTCCCCCTGTATATCTATCTCTACAGTTGTACTGTCTTTGATGATGTTGATCGTGTCTTCCAATGATCGAAGATATGTATGAGAAAAGAATTTTCTCACATTTCTGGTCATAAGTCAAAATGATTAAAAATGAACACTTTTAAATTTCCCCCCCCCCCTTAGCCAATAAAAATAAAACTAATTTCAAACATTTTGTATTTGGATTATTTTCATAAGTACCTAATTTTATTACGTATAAGAACTTACGGCCACATAGATAAATATATTTGAAGCGGCATCGGCAATGTTTGTTAGTTCATCCGATCCAGCAAAAATCTCAGTGACAATGCAGGGAGTAAAAATTATTATAAAAATTAACCATATGCCATTAACAAACTTGGAAAAAAGAGTTTGTAGTTTGTAGGGATCTTGTCCCGACATTTGCAAACAAAACAATGCACACTCTAAAGCTTCCCTCTTTATCATCTTACCAAATCTGGAAAATTAACATTACAACAAAATAAACAAGAACAAAAAATGGACTTCATTCCTAAACATAAGCCTTGCGTTCTGTTTAAATGAATTTCTATATTAATTATGGATAGGTATACATATATATATATTATAAATGAAAGTGAAATAACTTGTTTGATTTTTTTACTGAGAATATTCCTAACTTTATTACATGAATTAAACAAAACCTTTGTTTTTATCACGATTTCACCTTTATCCACTTTGACATTTTAGGATGTGCTATTTTGCGTTGTTTCTATATAAAGCCTATTGTTTTTGTCATTTTCAAACTAAAGTAATCTAATTGTCGTGATGGAGGTCAGTAAGGTCTCATTTCCTTCGAGAATTTCCTCTATATCTACCTTTATTTTATACTACAATTTTCTATTAGAGCGTGTTCATTCATAAATTATTTTGTCTGCTTGCTTTGTTTTTTGTCAAATGAAAGCAAGAATATCAATCTAGTTATAAACCTGGCATCAGCTCAATTTTTTTATATAAACAGAAAACCAAAATATTTTAAACTCTACCATTTCATTGGCCACATACATACGTTAGTTTATACATACATACATATATATAATTATTATTGCGAAAGGTAATGAACTTTTATCAATCGGACTCATATCAGTGACAGCGATTGTTTTCACAATTACGTATAAAAATATTCACGAACATCTATAAAACATTTAAAGCATCCATTCAGGATTAGTCCTATTTTTACAATATAGTCAAATTATCCTTAACCAAATTGTTTTCTTTACTAATCGGTTTGAAATCAAAGTCACAAGGGGATTAAAAGTTATTAATTTATTTAAAAACCAACTACAAAAAACCAGAAGAATGGTTAATACTTCGAATTAATACACAAGCTAATGTTTGCTTTACTGTCTAGAATCTCTATAAAATGTAATAACGCATCCACATATCCCTTATCGTAGACATAAATATTGATAGTAAAACAACCTGTACATAATCAACAGTTTAATTGTATACTTGTAAGTAAATATATATAGTACTATTCGTGTAAACAATGCAAAATATGTTATTACATTCGATAACTTAACAACATGTACACTTCTTATCTTATCTACCAATATTTTATATTTCACTAAATACTTACTTTTCTAAATCACAGAAAATTTGGTCTGAGATAAAATATAACACGTGTATTTAGTTTTAGTGATAACTTACGTGATCAAACTGTAAGTATGAAATACAACTTAAAAATTATATAGAAAATACTTGCTTTCAATTTGTATCATTTTTGGAAATGTGAAAAAAGCATCCTTTCCTCAATGATATATTAAGATTTTTTCAGTTAGAAGCAATCAAAAAGGACTGAAATATTCTTTATTATGTAATCTCTACCAACGTTTCGCCTTTCGATTTGCCTTGATAAACTTAAATGGAAAGACGAAACGTTGATGCGGATTACATAATAAAGAACATTTCATCCTTTCTGATTGATTCTTATTGAAAAATATAAAAAATTTATTCTACTTGAGTTTCAATTTCATCTTTTTTAGGTATTTTAGCTTAGTTTTAAACAATTTTATAATTAAATATGTTTAAATGTGTGTAAAAGTATAATAAACTTATTTCATTTAATGAAGAAAAAAGGAATACGAACCCGAAAATTTTCCAATTTTCCGGGCCTATTCGTAGTAAGGATGGTGCCGCTATCTCGCCTGTTTTTATCAAACTTGAAAATCAATATATCACAGCTCTAATTCGGCATTATCCTTTTCAGGTTACATTCTAGACGTATTGTCAAAACTCATTCTCCTAACTCATAATCCTTCTTTCAATCGTAATTACATTCACTGAATAATTAAATAGTTTAAGCATGTGTCCATGTGTGTACAATGTACTATGTGTATATGAAAAGTTTGGAAACATTTAATTAGTTTTCAAGTAAACAATTTATTTTTCTTTCCCGAAATTACGTAAATTTTTTTCGAGTAAGTAAAAGCAAATAAAACAACAACTAAGTGCTTATTTCAGTATTTTCTTTTCTTTAGTAAATTGATACTATATCTGAAATAATGGAACATTACTTACTTATTACATACGATTAAAAGTCTATTTTATGGTAGCTATCAAATATGTTCTTAAAATTGAAAAGTAATTGGTTTTCTCGCATGTCCTACATATAAATTGTATTTCCTCGTAGAATGAGTAAGAAAAACGAAAATCGTCTCATCGAAAACCAAACAAATGGTAGCAACCATCTTCTGGAGGAAGATAGGGTAACTGTCATTGATGGGGGCTTCTCTACACAATTAAGTTGCCATGTACAAGATCCCATCGATGGTGACGTACTATGGAGTGCCCGTTTTTTATCAACAAACCCACAAGCTGTCATCAATACTCATTTGGATTTTCTCAGAGGTTTTTATAAATGGAAATTGTCTCTCGAAAAATGCTTTTAAAGAAATTTATAGAATTTGGCGAACTCTTTGATTACGCATTTGATTTATTAATGGCGCAACATGAAATAAAATAAATGTTGTCTGAAATGCAAATATTTTTAGCGGGCGCTGAAGTTATCATCACAAACACATATCAGGCTAGCATTAGTGGTTTTGTTGAACACTTAAATTTAACTAAAGAACAAAGTTACGACCTTATAAAAGAAGCTGTAAGTTTAGCCAAACAGGCAAGGTTCCTTTTTGAAGAGCAATACTTTGAGGATGGTAAGTATATAATACCAAAAAAGGATTATATTTTATGGGACATTTATAATTACTGTTTTGAATAGTAATATTCTAAAAAAAATTACGATCTATCTAACATAATGCGTATTTATTTATTTATTTACAATCGATTCAGTTCTACGTTTGCTCGTAATTTAATTTTATTTGTACTTTGATTCACATCTACTTCACGTTATCCTTGTTAAGCTTCAAGGCGACTGAGAAAACCGCTCATTGCTGGTTCGGTTGGTCCTTATGGGGCTTCCCTTCACGATGGTTCTGAATATACAGGATCTTACTCAACCACTACCTCGGTCGAAACCATGGAGGAATATCATCGACCACGAATCGAAGCTCTCTTAGAAGGAGGTGTTGATCTATTAGCAATGGAGACAATACCTTGTAAAAAGGAAGCAGAGATGCTAGTCAAACTACTTAAAGAATATCCTCATATTAAGGCGTGGTTGAGCTTCAGTTGCAGTGTAAGCCATTTTTTTGATTAACGAATGATGAAAAATAATATTCGAATTGGTCAACTTTACCAAGACTTGAACGTGTGGTATTTTCTTCAGCAAGATGGAAAATCAATATCATGTGGTGAAGATTTCCAAGAGGTTGTGAGGCATTGCTATGATTTAAATCCTGATCAATTAGTGGCTGTGGGTGCCAATTGCTTGGCACCGCGTCTAGTAAAGTCTTTATTTGATGGAATCAATAACGAAAGGGAAAATAATCCAATTCCATTGATCGTTTATCCGAACAGCGGGGAAACATACAACGTGGAAACTGGGTATGAAAGGCAAGGGCTTCTAAGATAATCATACTAACAAATTATTGCAGAAACATCATCGTTATTTAATGGCATGGTTTTTGCAACCCCATTTTTTGCTTTTTGTGGAGCGACGTAATTTCAGTACCTAACTGTTAAAGCGCTTTATTTTGTCGTTTTGTGAGTGTCTATTTTTAAAGAAATACCATTTTTCTCGAAAAAGAAAATTATTAATTATTTTATTGAGAAAAATAAGCTATAGGCGAATACTCATTTTGAAACCGAATATGGGTTTGTTATTTTGAAACACTTTACCTGAAACATTATGGCAAGAGTTGTTTAGGTAGGTATTGGATACAGGTGCTTCAACAAAGACATGGTTAGAACAATAGGGATTATCACTTCAGAAAATAAAACTAATCAAGTTTCAAATATAATTATTATTTAATTGTCCTTGGTAATTTTTTTGCCATGTAAGATCTTTTTCAAATTATGACCATCGTCATTTTAACCACCTGAAGATGATACCCTTGTTCGGATTCGAAAATTTGTTTGTTATTTGTTGTATTTTCTGAAGTGCATTGTGTTTCATCTAGAATTATCGTATCACTTTGATTTGATTGAACAAAAAATTAAAAAAAAAGGCATAACATATCAGAAGTACGTACGTATAATGAGGAGGGGTGATACTAGAATCGTAACCCATTCTTTCTAGATATTATTATTCCTTTTTAATACAGAAATGTTTTAATAAATATTAAATACGTACAAAACAGAAATTTAATTAAAAGAAATTAGTAAATAAACTATTTATTGTGTTTATATATCATCGTAATGATCAACACGAATTTAAAATCTGTGACTTTTCTGGAGCATGTATTTATTAGAACATCTCAAACTAGAGATTCTTTCATATTTTTATTACAGTAGTTTCTAATGTGACAAACTTTTTCTTTTTTTAAAAAATCCTTTCAGTACATTTTAAATTTTAACCCTTTAGGACTTCCTAAAAATTTTTTCCTTTCGTAGACAATTTTTTAGTGCATCCTTTAAACATATAGGTACAAAATGCTTTTTTATTTTTAAGATAAAACATCTGTTAGAATGTAATATGTTATTTTATTGTGCTTTCTAAAGATTTAATTTGAAGCAATAAGTTCATTTTAATGGTGTACAATTTTACAAGTGTGTAAGATGCGAGCGAATAATATATTGCTTTCACGTCCTGTAGGTGGCTTAACAGAGACAAATGTGAACCACTGGACCTTTACGTAAAGGACTGGTTAAATCTGGGAATACGTTGGATGGGTGGATGCTGTCGTACCTACGCGGCGGACATAAGCAGGATAAAAAACGAAGTTTCTAAATGGACACATGTTCACAAATCTATCCAGAATTAAAGAGCATCTTCCACAAAATAATGTTGCCTTATATACATACATACATGCATGCGTGCTTTTTTAATTTTATTTTTAACTTTTCTAAGTACACAAAACAAAAAAGACTGACACAAATCAGGCTGTTACCTTGATTTATATGCAACTTTTCAAACCATTTAAATAAACGTTTTACTGCAAAATAATTTTTTCTAGATTTTTGTTTAGTTTCATACTCGAATAGAAACTTAAAAAATAGTATAGAATTTATTTTAACTGATTAAATTTTGCAGCGTTCTTGAAAATTGAAATAAGCCTTTATAGAATATGCTATAATAATAATATATTTCTAGTTAATCCTTATAGGTCCTCAAATTAATAAAAAAAAATAAATAATTAAGTAATCATTATGACCTAATACCATTTATTAGTATACCTGCTTTAAAAAGATAACTTTAAACGCATAAACCCTTTATATATTCATTATTAATATGAAATTTCTTTAATGATTAGGAAATTGATTTATTAATAATAACTCATGCTACCTGGTAAATATGAACATACTTAACGCTAACAAAATTCTAAAAGACTACAATGCAATATTTTTTAATCTTCTTCTTTTTGTTTTTACAATGTCCATCAATGCTGAACTCTATTTCAATATTTAATAAAAGCCAAAAAAAGAGAAACAAAATTTTTAAAATTTAGATAATTCAAAATTCAGATAATACGTAACGGAATTAAAATACAAATAATACCCAAGTATTGCCATCTAGTGGTGTTATTTAAAATAATCGTTCTTATTTAAAATGTACATAATTTCCTCCATCAGAAACTCAAAATTGTTGTGTTTAAAATTTTTTAAAAAGAGTTCGAGATCCTAGTAAACAACTAATATATCTCTATTATTGATCTCCAATGCTTTTTATAAATTTTTAAACACCAGACAATATTGATATTTACATTTTTGCTCCAGAATTATCTAAATTTCGATTTTACTCCTTTACATCATCTCTTTACAAGATTAAAACTCAAACATGAATAAAATTAATTTATCTTTAAAATTTCTTTTAATATTTAGAGCGATTTCGAAAGTTTTGTAATTTAATGTATAAATATATACAGTCTTCTGCCATCTAGTGACGTGATGCCAATAATGCATTGAAAACGTAAAATACTTTCTGTTTGCAGTTTAAATAACTACCCTAATAGATACTATGATCAACAGGTGGAGACAATAAATTTAAAAATTTCAATTTCTCGATGGAGGGAAAAGAAGTGTTTAAACTTGTAGGAAAAGACAAACTCTACAAATATGTTTACACGTTTATTACACACTAAAAAGTAAATATAAAAATATGTTATAAAATAAAGCACAAAAAATAAAATAATACTGCTTACACAAGCTAAGCTAAGAAATACTCTGTAGCCACATTATACTTGAGATTCTCACTTTACTCTCCTTTATCTCCCTTGGGAATTGACAAATCGCTTGGACCCTCATCCATGACTTCCATATTCAAATTTCTATTGGAGAGGCTCAAGTCTAATGTTGAAAAGTCATTTTTACTATCCGGCTCCTTACGACAGCTGGTTGATAAATCTATACTTTTAGGAACTTCTACCAACTTTGAAAAATCGACCGGTTTCGATAAATCTAATGTTCTAGAGAAATCGATTCCCCTCGCAAACTCTGGAACCTTTGGGGACTCAAAGCTATAATCAGTCTTCGGAATTTTACTGTAATCCATGTTGGAAGCTTCTGTTTTGGGAGTGTTCGATCTAGATCGTGAAAAGCTAAAATCAGGAGAATAATTTTCGTTTTTCCCTGCGGGACTGCTCATTCCAACAGGACTTTTTTGTGGAAAACAGTCAACGTCTCCAGTAAAACCATATTTTAAAGTTTTAATGTCATTAGTGCTCGGTATTTTCAACGGCGTTGTCTTAGTTTCAATTTTAGGTTTACTTAGGATGGGGCTACTTGTTGACAATGGTTTTATGATATCATGAGGCTTAAATGTCGAAGGGGGCAAATACATGCTACTCGTAGCTAAAGAGCTTGACATAAAAGGACCAGGAAAACCTAAAAGACTGCTCGTGCTTGGAAAACTTCCAGAATTAAATAGAGCCCTGGCCAAATCTGAATTTAACATTAAATTAGAATTCAAAACTCCTGAGGATGATAAGCTTGGAAACAGTTGAGAATTTTTACTGATTGATGGAATTATTATTGGACTTTCTTTATCATTACTATAGACCGATAAAACATTTCCCAAAATTTCTAAAATAGCTGCTTCGTTCTGGTCTCGGGGAAATTTCGAAGACAATGTCGTTTTTAATTTCGAAAAATAGGTGGTGTTACGATAACTATCTTTGAAATTAATGTAATCCTTTTCTTTGTTATAATATTCTACGCATTTTGTCATCTCCTCTATTACAAGGGGAGTCAAAATTGAATCCTGTGCCACACTGTAAGACATCAACATGGGTCGACCATACTCATTAGGCTTGTTTTCTGGGGGAGGAATCACCCAATAAGCTATTATGCTAGATTCTAAAGATGCATTCTCAAAATTGTAAGGAGCTAAAACAAAAAATCAAAATTAGGGATCCTCTCGTCCGTCCTGAGTAAATGTATTAAAAACAATGTGTATGTAATTAGAAATTTTCTACATAAAGTAACTTCAGTGACATACATATAATAATTCCTATGCATGGTGTATAATTATTATCTGAAACGCCTTTCATTCGAATTTCATATTCTAATTGTGAGTCGATGTCTCTTAACGTTGGAGCAGCAGCACAAAAGGGATGGGAATGATACCACCCAACTAGAGTAAATTGTTCTTTTTCCATCGTTTTTGAAATTTCAGATTCAATCTGAGCAGCTTGAGATTTATCAGTTTTGCTGCATCGACAAGGAAATGCTCGCGTAACTTGTAATGCTAAAAGACGAAAGAGACGATAAAAAAACTTTTGATAAAAAGAACTTACTATGACTGTTAACATCCCAATGACCACCGAGATATCCGCAAACTTCAGATCTTGTTAAATGACAGTGAAAGTCCATCAAAAATACAGCGTTTGTAGATAATGATACAAGAAAAGGTTGGATTTTTCCAAGATTGGAAAATGGGATACATTCTACTAGTGTGTTAGCGTCGCTAGAATTTAAAAAAAAAATTTAAAAGATAATATAGTACCTATAAAAAGCTTTACTTACTGAGTAAAAGTACGATTTGCAACTGTATTATGCTTTACAACAATTCTAGACTGCGACATGTTTGGGGTGACCAACGGAGTTAAAAATAATTGGTAATCTATTTTATCAGCTTGTTCTAAAAATTAATGAGTATAAGAAAACGTAAACAATGAACGAATTATAATACGCTTTTACCATTAATGGTTCTAGATTCTCTTTCAATTTTTTGCTGCTCTAATTCTTTTTTCCTTTTATAATAAATATTTTTATAAGCATCCAATTTCTTTCCTCTGTACCTAACCGATGCCCACCCACAACCAGACTTTTTATCTGGATTTATAAAACGTTTACAAGCTACAGCCCAAGCACTTGGTGATGCAAAGATAGCGCCCGTTTCTTGGCTCTGTATTTTTCCGTCTTCTAACAAGTCGCCTACAAATCTTTGGCCCTGAAATTAAACAAACGACATTTTCTTTATCCTGAATTAAACCAAATAATCAACACGCTACCAAATATTCTATGGTCATAGATCCTGGCCCAGGGTAAAGCACTCCACTGGACAAAAGCATCTGCAAGGTAACTGTACGACTTGTACTAGATATTGCTGCCGGTTGTTTATTTGTTTGCAGCCCATTTTCGCCTTCACAATCCTGAAAACGATCGGCCGTTACAAATTTCAACGTTTTATAAAAATAAAGCATGCAACAGAGTACTGATACAGTACAAAATGAAAACATTAAACCTGATGCAGTACTGTGCATTCAAAGCAAATAAAATGAACAAGCATATGGGATAATAGAAGAAATGATAATGATGACTTTAAAAGCAGTAACAAGTTACTCTAAAGATATGCACTTTTTGTGTTTTAACATTAAAACTGAAAATACTATTGTAAAAATATATAAGCAAATATTCAAAAAGTCTGTTAGCCCATGCAACATAGATAATAAAGTTATTTAAGTGTTTTAAATTTTTCAGGAAATAATGTTATTTGTGTTATTCATAAAATAGTTAGCAAACAAAATTTTCATTTCAATTCAATCCATGTGTGCTGGCATGTATTATGTACAAATTGCTACCCAACTTTTGCCTGGCATCAGAACAAAATTAACTTATTAAGAAAGGTCATTCTAGGCGAAAATGATAAAATTCGAATTTCATACTTTTACTCTATATTACCCTTGTTGTAACTAATAATTACACCCAATATTAACTCTTCATATATGTTTATAGTATGAAATAGTTTTGGAATAAAAAACTAAATTTTGGAAAGAAAATTGACTACCTCTTCAACAAAATGCATGCCCATTCTTCAAAATTAAGTAAACAGATTAGCCAATAGAATCGTCATGAAAAACGTTTAATTATTAAAAAATTCGTTTTTATACCCTAATCAAATCAATGCAATGACAGAGTAGCCAATCAACCAAACAATCAATTTACTCTTTCACATTAAGGGCTGATATTATATGTAATGGTGTAATAATTACTTATCACAAGGGTAATCAAATTTACTTAGCAATGAACATTGTTTAAAACCACGCAGCAAACGTTTTATGTAATTATAATAGAATAGAAAAAACACCTAATAATGAATGCCCAATCTATGACGGTAAGTTGCATTTTTCAAAATCAATGTTATTTAATGTTAAAAATAGATGATCCCACTTTAAATGATCTTTTTTATGATTGGGAAGCACACTGAAACTATTGGTTAGATAAAGCATTAATTTAGTATCAAAAATATTTAACTGATTTATCAAAGTGATTTAGTAATTAGATTTTGCCATTCATAATGAGGAACGTGAAACACTGATAGGAAAAAAACCTCGTCCACAAAATCAACTTCCTCAGCTTCTTCATTAGGTTCATCTTTGTCATCTTCCTCAGTCAAATTGTTAGTACTACTTCCATCGCCTAACAAAGCACTTTGCAGGTTTGTCTGCATCTTGATATAAACTGAAACCTTAAGTTAATAAAAAAGAAAAATATAAATAATAAGAAGCAACCAAACCCCTACTAGTCTTCTAATAAATAATGCTATGTGAAATATTATGAAGATTTTACCTCTTTCTTCTCACAAAATCCAAAAATTTTCGTCAATCAAATATTTTCACTACATATTAATAATATAGAAGATTTCATTCATGCCCACCACTTTCTCTGTAAACAAGCTTTAAAACCTAGTAAATCTTCAATAAGTAAAAATTGTTTAAAAGCCTAAATCAAAACAAACCAACTGTAAACCGTCGAAATTTGATGACAATCATGACAGTTATTATCATAGATAAAATTATGGTTGATTATGGTCTATGATTATGGTTGAAGTCATAGATAAGGTTGAGATCGTTGAGATCATAGATCGGTCGAGAGCATAGATTTTACCGGGAATAAAAAGAAACCATGGGAAGAAACGAAAAGAAAATTAACCTCGTTAACCTTAAATTCATTTCTTCATTTCTTCGGTTTAAAGTTCCCCAGTAGTTTATAAAAAAAAGCTAATTAAGCATACCGGTAAGAAACAATGGTAATTTTTTACATTTTTATGTACCTAATTTGCTAAGAAAATGTATTCACCTAATCTAAGTAATAGCACAGTCTTCTACTCATATTGATGATACTATTATGTCTTCTAACTGTATTCCTAGGAATGGATTTCCTCCTTTGAAATGTCAACTGATCCAACCAAGTCTACAAATGTTGCTGAAGTGGCAGGAATATTGTGTGAATTTTTTGAAGTTATAATTCACAATATATTGTTTGTCAGAAAGTTATATCCAGAAGGGATATTTGTTAAAAGAAAAAAGTATGGTGTTGTAGTAAACAAGTCTATACATCCATTCATAAATGAGTACATTTCTCAATCTTTAAAAGCAGTATATTTTCATCTAAAAGCAAAACAATTAAAAAGGCTTTTAGTCTGTTTTATCAGTAATGAGAAAATAGTGGAAAGATATGTGTTTGATATTTTAAATTTTGAAGAAAACTTAGAGAGGTAAGAAATGTACATCTCAAATTTTTAAACAGGAAGTTTCTGTCCTAATTGTTTTTACCTAATAATTTCAAAGGATGAATAGTAACCACCTGAAAAATATGTTTGTGATTAGAAACATCCTGTGTGTTGTTTCACTCTCAAATCTCCAGATTTCCAAATGAATTTTTCATGTTGAACATTCATTGTAGTTTATTTATTTCAGTGATCCCTATGCTATCAAGTTAGAGCAGCACCTAAGAAGTTTATATTTGAAACTTATTACATCTACAAGCTATTTGCATGCTCTTACAATAAACTGCAACTTTGCAATTCAGCTTCATGTATCCCAATACTCAAATGTTGAATTTAATGATGATCCTATGAATGAGGTAGTTATATACTTTATGTTGCCAGTACTGTATGTATAATTAATTAAAATAATTCAAAAAAATTTCATTACGAATTTTAGTATTAGATATCCTAATTTTTAAAAATGAAATCTTGCAATACATGTAAAAATATTTATTAAGTCATTATGTTTACAGGAGTTTCCTTGGGTCCAAATTGATGCAAGTGATTCAGAGTTGAACTGTGCTAATATTGTACCTTTGCATACTGCCTCATTTAAAACTTCTGTTGTGCATATGTACATGGAGTCTTTTAGCACTGAAAATCAAGAAAATTAATACTGAAGTTGAAATGACTAATGTTAAAAGTTATCCCAATAGACTAGCAGTGTTTGAACATGTACCACAAGAAAAAAGTTCGTCGTCCAAGAGATTTGGTAGGACAGCATCATCACTTACTGACTCAGATTCAGACACACAAACAGATACAATTGTGAGTGTTTACATACTCAACCGAAGCATTGCATAAATTTTTGTAATTAAAATAATATATGTTATTTCTTGTTTCAGAAAGCACCAAGGAAGAGACATAAAGGTGTTAAACATACTGAAGAACCATTAAGTTTAATGTGTATGTGGTTGGAATGCCCTAAAGTGACAGAATACTATGATGAGTTTATTAAACATATCTCCACCCATGTACCTACTGATGATTCAGGTACTAAAAAGTGTTTTTCAAATATTAAAAGTAATTAAATTGGTATTTTATGGAAAATCAATCCTGTATTACATAGTTGTAAATTCACTGATAAAAGCTCTAAAAGTCAAGAAATAATTATTAAAAATTTAGTTATTTAATTTCATAAGTACATTTGTAATTTTAGAGTCTTTACTTGAATGTCAATGGAGCAACTGCAGATTTAGAACAAACATAGCATCTTTACTAGATCAACACCTAGTTTATCACGGTTATATAATGAAATTAAAAAATATTGGGCAAAATGTGTTAAAGCGTTTTGATTTACCAGACTGTACACTGACTCCCGTTGTGAACTTACCATTGTTCGAGGGAGGATTTGTATGTGAATGGAAATATTGTCAAGGAATTTACGGGAATGTTTTTTACTTCTACAACCACATAAAACAGCATGTGAATTGCTTTCCAGCATACTGTTCTAAAAATGAAATAATCGAGTGCCAGTGGATGGGTAAGAGAAAAGAAAAATAAAAGGAATAACTGTTACAAATATTTATTTATTTTACATCACAGGGTGCTCATTTAAATGTTCTTCGCAATATAAACTCGCCGATCATCTTCGGTCACATACGAAAGAGAAAATGGTGGCTTGTCCTACTTGTGAAGCTACATTTGCCACGAAAACCAAATTTTATGATCACAGAAAAAGACAATTACCAGTAGAAGGTTTTAATTTTCATTAAACTTACAGAGATTTTAATAATAATTGTGTTCTTTTCTTTTTAGAGCAAAGCTACCAATGTTCACAGTGTACAAAAATGTTCCCCAGTGAAAGACTTCTGAAAGATCATATTAGATCGCACGTGAACCATTATAAATGCCCCATGTGTGACATGACTTGTCCAAAACCATCCTCTTTAGCAACTCATATTCGTTTTAGACATTTTTCTGAAAGACCAGTTACATGCAGCCTCTGTGAGCATAGGTAAACATTATAACCAATACATTTTGTTTACTAAACCGTTGTATTTCAACAGATGTGTTAATAAGCAAGACTTGCTTCAACATATGTTGGTACATTGTTCAAAAAGTCTTTTTGAATGTGAAGAGTGTAACTTTTCTTGCCGGTCCATGTATGGGTTGGATAGGCATTATCAAAAAGAACATGATCATGTAAGTAAGGTGCTAATGTATTATTTCCGTTTAATAAAAGTAACAGTACATATCGACTTTAATTTTTTTTATAGATTTTTTTAAGTGTAATATTTTTATAATTTTTTACGTTTTTTAGGAATGGACTCAAACGTACGAATGCCACGTTTGCAAAAAAACATTTCATCGTGGAAATCACCTTACCAGACATTTGATAAAAACACATGGATTTCATTGGCCTTCAGGTCATTCACGATTTAGGTAAGTCAAGTCGTATTAGCTGAAGAAGTGTTATTATTTTTTTGTCCTTTTTTCAGATATAAGGTGGATCCTGATGGAATATACCGTTTGCAAACTGTACGTTATGAAAGTCTTGAAGTAACACAAGAAATAATAAACAACAGTAGTGTGAACAAAATCGAGGCTGATACGAATTACGAATTAAAACTAAGTGTGGAAAACGTTAATGATATCCCAAAATATGAAATGGTGAAAGAAGAACCGAAGCAAAACATTCTACTACCTACCAACAACAGTGTTCTAATAACGATAAATGATGTTGACGAAAGTGGTAACATTTTAAAAAGTGAAATAATCGAATCTAGTGAAGTGAAACTACTCAAATCTGAAATAGGAGATGTCAAGAGTATTCAAGAGGAAGACGCCCCAGCTACATGTGGACGTGTGCTAAGGCCAAGAAAAAAATGTTAAAAAGAAATATATTTTTACCTCTTTTTTATTTTATTATATGAAAATAACATAAGGAATATGTATTATTTTCTTATAATATCTGCTACTACTTGATCTTTAAGTTAAGTACATATTATGCTTATTTTCTTAATTAATTTATTTACTGCTTATTACATTATGAAATGATGATGATGAAAGTAATTAAAACGTTAAAATTTTTATAATAAAAGTACAATTTTATTATACATATTTTTATCCTTAATAAAATTATACTACTCAGGCAGTAGTAGGTTTCTTTAAGTATTCTACAGTTTTTATATTATG